GAGATTATTTATGATGGTTGTAATAAACAGTAATAAAGTCAAAGAGTTTATAAAAATTATTATTTAAAATTATTATTGTGAAATCTTGAAGTGTCCTTCATCTTGGGACGGAACAGCAGCAGATAAAGATGGTTTCAGCAGACATCACGGCTCCTGGTGGGTTAATCTGTGGAGCAAAGTTACAGAACGACCCAGCTTGACCCAGCTGGGAAAATGTGACCTTTGTCACAAATTAGAGGCCATTCATGACGCTACACGTTTGTGATATTCACAAATCAGAGCATGTTTGGGATTTTCCTCAGGTTTATGTGCGAGCTGCTGCTGCCATCAGCCCAGAGGTACTACATGACTCAGCCATGAGTGAACCTTGATGAGTTAAGGGCTGGTGCCTTTCTCCAGCAGTCTCCAGGCAAACAGGTGGCGTACACCCTGGACAGGTGGCAGGACAGAGATACACAGGACAAACAACCACGCACACACACACACACACACACACACACACATGCACACACACGCACATACACACACACCCACCTAAGGACAATTTAGACAGTCATGTGTTTGGACTGTGGGAGGAAGCCGGAGTACCTGGAGAGAATCTACGCGTTGCTGAGACCCCAGGTTGGGTTGCAAACCCAGGGCCTTCTTGCTGCAAGGCAACAGTGCTAACCACTGCACCACCGTGCAGCCCCCTTGTCCTTCATGTCGGGTTGATTTGGTTTCTGTGTTTCAGAGCGTTGAGCGGGACGAGCCAATTGAAGTGGACACAGTTCCAGCACACACCGCACAGGAGAATGGACACACCACCAAGGGCGATTTTAGCGTTAGAGGTAGATGCTACACCGCTCCACAAGAGCACACACCAGAGGCAGCTTTCTAAAAAACACTCAGCTGTGTAAAATTCTTCTTGTTTTGTGTCAAACGTTACACTTGTTAGTTGTCTAATTAAACGTGCAGAACTGTGAGATGATAAACGTTCCTTAACAAGCTGAATGGAAAAGACTTGTTATAGTTTCAGTAATGTGTTCTCTATGGTTTGTCCCACCTAGCTCAATAACAAGCATTTGAAATTATTCAGGGATCCGAACCCTGAGCTGTATGCAGGAATGTAGCTGAGCAACATTATAAAAATTAAACTCAGCTGATGTGACACTATGAGAATATTAAACCTCTTCACAATATTGTAATCATCTGATAGTTTGAATGTGGTTTTCGTGAGCTGTAAGCCATAATCATCACAGTAATAACTTAGTAATAAAGTATCTGATCACGGATGGAAGAAGAAGGAGGCTTAACACACTGGGAAACCAGTTATTTCAGACCTTGAAGGACAAACAACCAAACAACTCAGCCTCCGCTGAATGATGAAGCACCAAACAGCAAACAAGCTGCTGCAGAAGGAGAAAATGTGTGACTTTGTTTCTGATGAGTTCAGCCTCAGATTCACTGATTTCTGCCTCAGGGCAGAGGAGCAAACTGGAGTAGATGCACCTCGAGGTGAAACAGTCACACAAACCAGACCTGCGCTGTTTTCATCTGGCTTATTTAAAGCAACAAGATCATTTATTTGCATTTTTTTTCTGTTACAGAACAACCAGTTCATGGAAAGATCACCACTCCTTCTGACGCCTCACCTGAACAGGCAGCACCTGCTGCACCGCGACTGCCACACCTCCCCATCATGGCTACGACTAAAACAGCAGAAAGCAAACGATCAAACACTTCTCCCAGCAGCCCGGCGGGTTCTCTGTCGCCCCCCGAGGCCTCAACAACAGGTCGGTCAGTCTGCAGCTCCTCCCATCCACAACCCTCCGAGGTCTCTGCACCTCAGCCAGGTGAGAGTCTCATCCCGGAATGAAGGAGCCACGTTTAGCTTTAGTCTCCTAATTTGGTTTTCTTTGGACTTCCTTGTTTCAGCGTCTTCTCTGAAAACATGGAGCCGGACACCCGCCAGCTCTCCTCATCTTCAGGGTGAGTTTTTACAGAAAACGTCACATTCACACACTCCGTAGAGGCCAGCTGGTCACATGTGACTTACATCTGGTGCTGGTCTTCAGCAGAGAAGGGAAACCCAACGGCGGTCAGGTCTGTGACCTATTTCGGCACTCTGCAACACGACAGGTGGGTGTTTGGTGAAGCAGGACAGATCGGGTGTGTTATCTGTGTGTGACCCTTGTGAGTCCTGCAGAGACTGTGATGAAAGCACGGAAAGGCCTTCGGGGCAGATGGGGGAAAGGAAGCGGGAGCTGGTGAGATCACAGACTCTGCCTCGTAACATCGGTGCTCAGACTCATCGAGCAGTCTTTGAAAGGCACGACTCTGACACCTGTGGCAGGTGAGTGTGTGCTGGGACATCAACGCTCACACACCCCTGTCTTAGGCATGATTTTGGTTTTCATCATATCTGCTGCACAGTCGACCAAAAGCGGTGACACTGAAGCGGTCCCAGAGCTTTGGGGTGTCCAACGCCAGCAGCATCAAGCAGATTCTTCTGGAGTGGTGCCGCTCCAAGACCATCGGCTACCAGGTGAAACGCCTCATTTCAGATTCCTTTAGATCCAGGGTGTTTCTCGAGGCCAGGCGCCTTGCTTACGAGGACGCGGTCCTTCGTTGGTCAAAGAAAACGGTTAAATGGAACAGACTTGCATCACGTGACCACGGCTTCCACGGCGGTCACGTAACGTCACATGACACGGGAGACAACGTTATATTTTATACGTGTTAGTTTCAATATAAATATATAACGAGCCTTTTACTTTTTAAATTGTGTCCCATTAAATGAAATATATAAGTGAGTTGCTACCCGCTAGCCACCGAAGCTGCAACTACTAAACAACTAACCAACCATAGATAACTTTTTTGGATCTAAAAAAACATTTTAAATTAGATGACTTACTTTTAAACTTGCCCCCGAAGTAGCTGCTGGCTTCTGATCTGCCGTCCTTTTGAAAGTACTGCGGTGTATTCTGGGTAATTTTTGACCAAGGCTAGGCTACCAGACACCTCCCTTGTATCCTTGCTCAGCTAGCTAAACGGCTAACAAACGGAGAACACACGCCTCGGTAGAACATGTAGAGCCCTGAAGGTTCTAGTCAGGACTCTAAAATGAACTCTAAAGTTAACGGGTAACCAGTGCAGATACGTCAGAATAGGAGTGGTGAGAGCTCTTCTGTTTGCTCCAGTTAGGAGCCTCGCTGCAGAGTTCTGGACCAACTGAAGGCGGTCAAGGGCTTTTTTGTTAAAACATGTGAAGAGTGTGTTACAGTCATCTAGACGGGAGGAGATAAAGGCATGGAGAACCATTTCAGGTTCATGTTTTGACACCAACCTTCACAGTTTGGAGATATTTCTTAAATGATAAAAACAGTTTCGGAACAGCGTTTTTGAGTTACCTTCAAGAGACATTGATTGGTCAAAAACACCCAAATTTCTTAAGTTTGTCTTGACGGCAGAAGATAAATGACCAAGTTTTACACTAATATGGGGAACCATGCTCTCAGGGGCAATGATCAGACATTCAGTCTTTTCAGAGTTTAATTGGAGGAAGTTATCGTCTAGCCAGCTGGTGATCTCTGATAGACACTCTAGTAATTCAGACAGTTTGTAGAACTCAGAATCCTTAAAGGAGCAGTACAGCTGAATGTCATCTGCATATAGGTGATAAGAGACGTTATGAAAAGAATCAAGTATCTGTCCAAGAGGGTGTATGTACAGCAGAAACAACAGTGGACCCAAAACAGAGCCTTGGGGTACCCCACAGAACCAAACGGTAGAATCTGACGTGATCTGGTTTCTACAGACACGGTAACTTCTGTTAGAAAGGTACGATCTAAACCAGTCTAGACCAGTTCCAGACATCCCCACCGAGTCACCAAGTCTGTTAATGAAGGTGTTGTGATCAACAGAGTCAAAAGCTGCAGAAAGAACTAACAGTACTAACACTGTGAACTCCCCGTTGTCTGCAGCCATCATAATGTCACTGGAAACTTTAAGCAAAGCTGTTTCTGTTGAACACTTTTTACCAAAACCAGACTGGATTTATCAGAACTGTTGTGTAGTTCCAGAAAAGTAATGTGCGTGGTATGTAAAGGCTGAGTCATCAAAGGAGTACAAACCCATATCAATAATTTCTGATGTTATATTTTAGTGCCGACGTCGGCCAATATCATCAGGTTTCCCTTATTATCATGTAACGACTCGAATACCTGCTAGCTACTTCATTGCTAGTTGTATCAGTATAAGCTGTTACTCTCTGATAAAGTCCTCCTGGGACCCTGCACGAGCCCTAAACACAGCTCTGGCCTGTTTTGTAAATCACTTCCAATACCGAACTTCTTCATTTGCGTAGTGCCACACAGCACCGTTTTCCTCCAGTCGTATGGTCATCACTCACCACCAGCACTTTTGGGCTAAAACTTGCTGCATAGCTTCACGGGTCTCGCGCCGGCACTGGTGCATGTGAGAACAGGTGGGTGTGTAGAGGACGCTCCCTGGGATGAGAAGCTTAAACCCTAACCTAATCAGCACATTTGCATCCTCTCTCTGTGTGTTTCTGCACAGAACATCGACATCCAGAACTTCTCCTCCAGCTGGAGCAATGGGATGGCCTTCTGTGCCCTGGTCCACTCCTTCTTTCCCACCGAGTTTGACTACAACTCCCTGTCACCTGCCAACAGAAAACACAACTTTGATCTGGCCTTTGGGATTGCAGAGTGAGTGTCAAGATAGTCCGAGCCAGAATTTAAACTGGACAGGATTTAAGTGCACGTGGGCTCTGTTCTCGCGTAGACTGAACCAAGCTCCAGGTCTCCTTAGTTTTCAGTGTGAGAGCACTTTCCTCCGCTTGAGAGGTGGAAGCAGGAACAGCTGCTGCATGTGCCTTATGGAACGGGATGGGAGGACTCAAACACCGTGACATGAACGAGAACCTTCTTAGGAGTAGCTCATAGAGGTCCTACACAGATCTCACAGGCACGAGGACTCTGGGCTGGCACCATCTTTGTGTTTCATACTGAATGTGGTACAGAGCGGTGCGGCTTCAGTTCGGCGTAGGGCCGACCTTCACACCAGCTGCAGTTTATGATGAATACCCCACACTTGTACAGCACCTTTAAGAGTCGGGGACTCCAAAGTGCTTTACACTACAGTGTACCATTCATCCGTTCACACACACACACCTTCACACGCTGGGAGACACTGACGGAGCACAGGCCCAAGGGCACAACAGCAGAATTCTCTGTCCAGAGCTGGGCTCAAACCTACAACCTTTCGACTACTGGACAACCCGCTCAGCCTCCCGAGCCACTGCTGCTCCAGATATCTGTCATTAACCATCGTTAACAATAAAACTAAAGCCGGCAAAAAGGACGTGACACAGGTTAGAGTCAGGAGTAGGGAACGTAACAGGCTCCGTGCACACGCACGCTCTCACGCCACACGTCCAGCTTCTCAGATAGACCTAAAGAAGCTAATCCATCTGCGCTACACATCACATTACCTACTGCACACTCAGATGTTATCAGACTTCAGAATGAGGAGGGGAATCCACGCCCTCCAGTGGCAGCAAGCAGGAACTACACCTTGGTCTGTTTGTCTCTTATTCTCAGCTGAAAACACAAGTTTAACCCTATTTATGTCAGCTTAATAAAAACAGCGGTAAGAATGGAATATTGATGTTTGTTACGGAGCTTTCGGGTTCACCGCTCACGACGTCACCAACCCAGCAGGAGGCTGGTTGTTAGAGAGAGACCGGTTAGGTTGTTCTCCAGTAGCTTAAGGAAAAGTACAAACCTGTAATAGAAAAGAACTGTTTGGTAAAAAGGTTGTTCAAAAACCGAGTCAACAACTCATTTAACTTGTTCAACTTATTCATTTATTGAAATAAAAAATGTCAAGTAAATGGAAAGTCCTCTGGTTCAAAGAACCTAACAGAAAATAAACAATTAAATTTTAAAATAACAAATGAAGGAAGAAGGAACTTAGTTATGAATCATTCTTATTCACAATACAGCTTCCAATAAATAACGTATTTATGTTAAAGCAGTCAAATATAAATATGGACATCATTTAACCTAAACGCTAAAACATTTCCCAGGAAGAATCGGCCCCTTGTTTGCTATCAGCTTACTCGCTTAAATGACATAATGCGACATAAATGAAAAAATTACGTGAAGGAAGAAAATTTTGTTTTTCAACTGTTTGTTTTCATGTTTTGCTCATAATTAACTAACATGAATATTGTTTAAACAGCAACCTGTGTTCAAGCATCCATTTTGCCTCTCAAAACTGAAATCTGCCTTCAGTTCACTCTAAACAACTTTGAAAACGTCTTTCGTCTCCAGAAAGAAGGCGGGCTGTGACCGGCTCATCGAGGTGGACGATATGATGATCATGGGTCAAAAACCAGACCCCATGTGTGTGTTCACCTACGTCCAGTCCCTCTACAACCACCTGCGCAAATATGAGTGACGCTCAGGAGACGTCTTCGGCGTGCTCTGAGCAGGGGCAGAGGCCCAGGACGGGCAGCCCCCTCCAGGGGAACCGGGACCTTCTCACCTGCTGGACGGACATGGCCACAGCTGGAATCACACACTAGTCTAAAGTTACTCTCAGTGGTAAAAGCTGGAAACCCACAGAGGCCAAGTGTGGTTTATTTAGTTTTCAGACGTGCACCCAGGTATCTGCTTTATGCTGAAGGAGAGCAGGATCGTGTCAGGTTTGCTTCTGACCTGTTTCCAGGTGTCTGTCCACTTCACTCTGCACCGATGAATGAAAACGGTCCTGGCTGCAGCTGATTGGCTGCTGGGGAGCATCTCACAGCTGAAATGTGACAAGCTGCTGAGGGGATTTCACATTCACGGTTGCTGTATGTGACGTGGAATAAAGTAACATGACACCAATATCACGTGAGTGGATTATTTCCTAATGAAGGCATGAATGCAAATATAATCCAGAATTTAATTGTCTTTTGTCAAATAATTAAGCTGCTATTTAACAAACTTTTTATTTAACCCTTTAAAGCCTGAAACATGAGAAAAGGAGTCATTCAAACTGAAATGTTCATTCTAATAGGACAATCACTTTACTTGATGGTGTAATAAAGACACCTGGCCCTCGTCGCCTGCAGATCCTCCAGAAGGCTGTGGTAGTCTAAAGGACTGGACATGAGAGGCTTTTGAGTCCTGATGCTCCGTCGCGACACTTTAGAGTCAGGAGGGGTTTGATGAGAGGTTGAGACGATGGACTATAGGAGGTTGATGAATGAAAGGCTAAAAAAGGTAAAATAATTAGAACGGTTGGTTTTGTTAGTAGAAACTTATTTAGTATTAAAAATCCTACAGGAGACGCCCTGAAGATTTGCTTAAATCAACCATCGTATTAATGTTTACTCCTGGACCGGTCCAGAGGCAGACACCTGTGAGAGGGCTGGGTTATTGCTCTGGAACAAAAGCTAACCTCACCTGAAGCTAAAAGTGTAAAAACAACATTCAACAGAGAAAAATAATGAAGATAAAACACGGGTCCACGTGGCAGGGGTGAGGTGGAGCTCACTCCTCACCCCTGCCACGTGGACCCGAGGGATAAACCGTGGTCACCTTTCCTCACGGGGTCACCCCCATCAGGACAGTGGGAGGGTTACATTTTAAGCACGTAAGCGGTAGTCTAACGCTATTGGTTAGTTCTGGTCGACGCTCAGCTTCCTGTTGCACAGAGCTCTGCGGGGCAGGGGGGCGTGGCTAGCAAAAAAAACAACAAAGATGTATGGCTTTCACTATATCACAGCAAGACAACCACTTTTACAGATGTCTGATAAATCATACGTAACGTCTGAAAGGAGAACACGCCGGAAGGCTGCTCTAATGACATCAGGAACTAAGAGGGATGTATTTTATCGGGGGGGGGGGGGGACTAGTGGCGGGTCGTATGTTATCTCTCATTACTGAATGACTCTGAAAGACCACGCCTGCTTTGTTTTTACTTAGTGACTTATAAAGCACGTGTTTTGTTCTGTTAATAAAAGATAATTGTTAAAATGAACAATAGAAGCATTTTTCTTGATGAAAACACCTAATAAATCTGTGTAATAATTGGATTTGTTATTAATATTGATGCTGAAAGAGGATCTCCCTCCACGTCTGAGACGTTTTTGCATCCTGCTGTGAGCCGTTACCGCCAGGAGGTCACGCTGTCGTCTCAGTGACATTTTCCCAGATCCTTCGTGATCCGGATGATGAGTACTTTGGCATCTCATGGTCCTTGATGAAGATTTAACAGTTTATTGTCCATGTAGCTTGTATGTTCTTGTTTTCTGCTGCTCTGGTGATGTCTGCATTTATTTTTGTCAAACGTTCACGCGTACTGTCATGGCTGGTTCATCCATCTTGTGTTAAACAGTCATCCTCCATCGTTCCTGAAAAGTAAAGGTAAAAAACACGTCCTTGTCACTTTTTTAGGGTTTTGGCAAAAACAAAGTATTTATTAATATCTAATAAATACTATCAGCTGTTGCTGCGTTCTAGGAAACTTCCCAGCCTGGAAATCATAAACGGCTGTTTCCTGAAATCCAGCAGGAACGTTCACGATTCCTATCCAAGGAAATAGTTTCCTGTTTCACATTTTATTATTTCCAAAGAATGGTTCGTAATTCATGTGTTCATCTCAGAGATTAACAAGGGTCATAATCTCAGATTTGTTTTGTGGGAAAAGGGGGTTGTTAGGAGTTCAGTAGATTAAAAAAAACATGACCCACTTCAGACGCAACGTAGAATTATTCAGCTCCGAATGTGTCCTAAACATCAAGCCTTTAGATTACGGCGCTAATAAAGGATGTTTTGCTGTTGAGAACTGAGTTTTTGTTGGATCTGAAACAGGTTTTCAGATTTAGGCTTGTGAGTAACCGTGAATAATCGTTCTAATAAATTGAAGATGATACTAATTGTGTGTTTTAAGCACGTTAAAAACTACCAGGTGAAGTATTTACGTGGTTCGGACACAATCTGGTGAATAACTGGGATTAGTGAGGTGCAGAGCACCTGGACTTACCGGGAGAGCTGCTGGTATATAAGACTCCTCCTCCTCGCCTCAGAGCAGCAGTGGAGGCAGAGCAGCACCGAGGCTCACCAGCCGCAGGCATGGCTCTGTTTGTGGACTCAGAGTCCGCTTTAATCAAACCCACCCAGCAGAAGGACCTGGTGGGTCTCAAGGTGTTGTTTGGAGATCAGGAACCCTGCAGAGGTGAGATGTAATACATGCGTTCATAGCGGTTGTCTCAGTGACTCAGGTCAGCAGGTTTTCATGCTCCTCCTTTGTGATGTTTCGGTGTGTGAGATGGTGGAAGCGCGTGCTCTCCAGAGCCGGACAAGTGCTCCAGTTTGATGGAAGGTCAGAGGAAAAGGAAGAGGACCATCTTCAGTCGAGCCCAGCTGTCAGAGCTGGAGCAGGCCTTCGCTGTGACTCCGTATCCAGACATCACGCTGAGGGAGAGGCTGGCTGCTCACACACACCTGCCCGAGAGCAAGATCCAGGTGAGCTGTGGCTCGTTCTGTTTAATGCTCAGACTGCCGGGCTAGCTCCCGTGTCTCCAGACTTCATCTTTGTCATCAAACCCTTTAGATGTGATTTGGTTCCGAGTGAACTAAAAGGGTTCTGTTCTCCACAGGTCTGGTTCCAAAACAGAAGAGCCAGAAGTATCAAGATGGGTAGACTGCCTAAATCCATCAAATCTGAGATGGGAGTGGGGGGGTTTGCAGTACCCTGTCCTGGACCCGGGCCCTCCCCGTACCCAGCAACCACCACTCTAGTAGACATATTCAGGCAAGACAAGAACCACTCGTGTGAAGAAGTGCCCCACCTTTACTCCGACTGGATCCAACTCTACAGCAGCCCGGCACCGTCCACACCCCCGCTGTCCTCCTGCCTTCAGCAGCCTCCTCAGAAGCTGCTCAAGAGTTGCTCCAAACCTTCAGACTCTTGTCTCTGGGAGGGAGAGCACCACAGGCAGCAGCACCTGGGGCCCGCCATCACCAGCTTCATCACTGGTTCGTTTCCTCAGCCCCCCCACCCTGCCTCCAGTCGCTCCTACCAGGTCTTCACAGACTTTAAGCCCCCGAGTCTCGCCGCATCTGGGAACCATCAGCTCACGTATGGACCAACTGGGGGTAACGGTTCGGCGGAGCAGGCCGCTCCTCCCCACGCTCAGCAAACATACTGGGAGCTGACTCCAGGACAGGGTCACCGCCATCATCATCATCATCATCATCATCATCGCCCGCAGATGGGAGCACAGACCTCCATGGGATACATTTCAGATTTGATCTACAACGCTGCCATCGTCACCAACTTCTTAGAGTTGTGATTATTTACAACGAGCAACAAGAGCTCAGATGAAACTTCTCACCAGCTTCCCGTCTCCGTCCTGATTTCCTGGAGATGACTTTACGACAGATCCACCTCGGAGGTTGTCCTTTCTGTTGTTTACTCTTTATTTAGTTTGTGTCTGTTTCTGAGGATGAGTGACGAAGCGCTCCCTCTTTCCCGAGTGTTTTAGCGGTCTAGACTTGAACGTATTTACTTATGGAACAGGTGATGAATGCATGATTAAACACCTCATGAACGACGCCAGTCATTTCTTTTACTGCTTTCTCTAAATGTTTTCTGGTTTTTAGCTAACAGTTATTCAGTGATGAACACAATTTAATCTCAGGTTTGTTTCAATTGAAAATGTCAGGAAACGTAACCCAGTATTGTGATCGTCATCGCTCAAATCGAGCCAAAAGTCATTTTTATTTAGAAAACAACAACAATGTCGTAATAATGGAACATTTAAAGTTAGTCATTATTTTCCCTTAAACTCAAATCACCTTTCCAATGTTCAAATAATCTGTCATTTATAAAGAAACGCAACAATCGTCACCAAAAAAGAACTTTTCTATCTTAATCATTAGAGATTCAGCCTCAGGTTTTTGTTTGGAATAGATTATCACACTGGTGGGATTAATTCTGTTAAAATCTGTCATATTTTTAATGGGAATAAAGCAGAATAACAGATTAGCATTGGTTAGCTTTAAGCATTAATTGTCTTTTATGAGGTTACATATTAAAAACCAGCTGATAGCATTTGTAATAATAATCTTCCTACATAAAACTATAATCTTTATTTTCTTTGAGATAATCGAAACTAAAAGTCACGAGTTAGCCAACGCACATAATATTAATTTAAACAAATTAAGATTTGATTTTTAAGACAGCATATTCTTGTGATTATTGATCAAGATAGAGCCAGATTCTGAGTCAAACGGGTCAAATCTGGACGTTTTCTGGGGGAACGAGACTTGGCTGGTCTCCAGCAGGGAGGTGCAGCACCTCCTGTTTTCCTGCTCCAAGATGAACCGTGGCGTGCTTAACTCCCCTGACCCCGCGAGTATTATTGTTCAAAATAATACCGATTAAAATGATTACTGGTAGTACGATCCAATGGCAGGAATAATTATTTTCTAAATCAAAATATTTTTCCATATCCCCCTGTAACGTAAGAACTGAGGGTTTAGGTGGACACAGGAAATGAAAAAAGAGAAAAATAAGAAGTAAATTAAAACCAGAGCTCCAGGTCTATCAGCTTACAGGCCAAGTAATTCACCCTGGATTTAAGTTTAGGAATATTACATGAGAGGCAAACATGACAGACAGGAGCCCCTCCATATCATAATCATCTTTAATACCAAATAATCTTTCAATAAACCTTTAATCCGGGTGTCAAATCTCAGATCTTTGGAAGATACGGTTTTGTATTCCAGATGTGGTTACATATTTTAATCCAGCTGCTGGTAAAACAGGAATTAACGGGAGCAGAGTGGTTTTCAGAAATATGAATTCATCTCTTGAAGAGAGATGAGACCATGGAGCAAGACTTCCATACAGCTTCGAGGAAATTCTGGTCCACCATCCGGTGCCTCAGGAGGGGGAAGTGGTGCACTACCAACACTGTTTACAGTGGGAACGGTGTACTGCTGACCTTGACTTGGGACGCTGTGGATCGATGGGCAGAGTACTTTCAAGACCTCCTCAATCCCACCGGTGAGGAAGCGGAGTTTGGGGACTTTGGGTCGGGCTCTCTGGTACCAAGGTCACTGAGGTGGTCATAAAGCTCCTCGGTGGCAAGGCTCCGGGGGTGGATGAGATCTACCGGAGTTCCTTGAGGCTCTGGTTGTAGTGGGGCTGTGTTGGCTGACGCGGCTCTGCAATATCGCGTGGAGATCGAGGGCAGTCCAACTGGACTGGCAGCCTGAGATGGTGGTCCCCTTATTTAAAAAGAGGAACTGCAGGATGTGTTCCAACTACAGGGGGATCACACTTCCGAGCCTCCCTGGTAAGGTCTATTCAGGGTTCTGGAGAGGAGGGTCCATCTGATTGTCAAACCTCAGATTCAGGAGGATCAATGTGGTTTTGGTCCTGGCCGTGGGACACCGGACCAGCTCTATACCCTTAGGGGGTCCTGGAGGGTACGCGGGAGTTTACCCAACCAATCTACATGTGTTTTGTGGATTTGGAGAAGGCCCTCAGGAGGCCCTGTGGGGGGTACTCCGGGAGTAAATGATGATAATGATAATGAGCCGCACTTGTATAGCGCCTCTCAGAGTAAGGACTCCAAAGCGCTTTACACTACAGTGTATCATTCATCCATTCACACACACACTCACACACTGGTGGAGATGAGAGGCGAGGCTGCCGAGCACAGGCGCCACCGGACCCTCCGACCACCACCAGCAGGCAAGGCGGGTTAAGCGTCTTGCCCAAGGACACAACAGCAGAATTCTCAGTCCGGAGCCGGGATCGAACCTGCAACCTTCCGATTACTGGACAACCCGCTCAACCTGTTGAGCTACTGCTGGCCCAGTATGGGGTAGCAGGCCCTCTGATACGGGCGGTCAGGTCCCTGTATGACACGCTTGTTCGCGGTGAGAGCTGGACTCCACCAAGGCTGCCCTTTGTCACCGATTCTGCTCTGAACTTTTATGGACAGGATTTCTGTTTTGGTGACCTAAGGATCAGGCCTGTGCTTTCTGCAGATGTCCTGTTAGCTTTATCAGACCACGATCTCCAGCTTTCACTGATGCAGTTCAAGAGCTGAATGTAAAGCAGCTGGGATGAGAATCAGCTCCTCTAAATCCAAGACCAAGGTCTTAAATTGGAAAAGGGTAGAATGCCTCCCTGCATTAAGGGTTGGATTGGGGGGGTTAGACCACCAATTGGTGCCCGAGCACAGCTGTGTCTGCAGCTCACCGCTCCCCCAGGGGATGGGTCAAATGCGGAGAACAAAGTTCACACACACATTAGTGTGTGTGACAACTGATGGGACTTTGACTTTAACCGTTTCCGGGTCTCGGACGAGGTCCTGCCTCAAGTGGAAGAGTTTAAGTGTCTTGGGATCTTATTCACGAGTGAGGGAAAGATGGAGTGAGAGACTGATAGGATTGGTGCTGTGTCTGCAGTGATGCGGACGTTGTACCGGTCTGTCGTAGTGAAGAGAGAACTGAGCCAGAAGGTGAAGCTCTCGATTATCCGGTCGCTCTACGTTCCTACCCTCACCTATGGTCAGGAGCTTTGGGTAGTGACCGAAAGAACGAGATCTTGGATACAAGCGACCAACATGAGTTTTCTCCGCAGGGTGGCTGGGCTCTCCCTTAGAGATAGGGTGAGAAGCTCGATCATCCAGGAGGGGCTCGGAGTAGACCCGCTGCTCCTCCACAACGAGAGGAGCCATTTGAGGTGGCTCGGGCGTCTGGTCAGGATGCCTCCCTGGTGAGATTTGTCTGGAATGTCCAACCAGGAGACCTATAGGAAGAACCAGGACTCGCTGGAGGGATTATGTCTCTCGGCCTAAGGGAACGCCTTAGGTTTCCCCAAGAGGAGCTAGTCCAGGTGGTTTGGTAGAAGGAAGTCTGGGATCTCGGCTTAGGCTGCTGCCCCCACGACCCGACTCCGGATAAGTGGAAGAGAATGGATGGATGGCTTTTCACTCTGAAGAACACATCAGTGAAGGACCGGTCAGCCTCTAACAGGTCTGATGAGGAATGTGCTTATGCAGAGCTTTAGCATCACCTGCTGTTTGTAACCATAGAGGCAATCTTCCCCGTTAACTAAAAGTTTTAATCAGTAAAAATCTCTGGACTGAGCTCATTTCTGACTGCATTTTCCACAGATGGATTTCACTGGAAAACAAAGCCTGCCTTCTTAAATGACCTTTATTAGCTACAGATTATTTCCAGTCACCACGTATGAAGCGAATCCTGACGTTCCTCTGAGCGGGTTTACCACCATTTACCCTGATCAGCTTTCAGCTGGACCATTTCACCAGCGTAAACGATCGTTGCCATGGGAGACAGGTGATCTGTGCCAGTCCATGTTCGGTTCACGCCAAATAAACAGCAGAACTCCTGACTTCTCTGTGAGCAAACAGAGTGATTCACGAGGCTTGGCCAGTAGGTCAGCAGCAAAGAAGACAATGAGTTAAACATCTACTAGATTTATTAAAACACAAACGGAAGAACCTTTTATTAAGGAAGAGCTTGGTTTATTTAACGAAGCAGAGCCAAGGAGACATTACAAAAGCAGGACGAACAAACATTTAAAAAGGAAAGAGAATTCAAACCATTTCACTAACAACAACAATAATGATAATTACAAATAACCTAAAAATGTATTGTAAGGTGCTATGGTTCCCCAAGTTCTCCTTCCATGGTCCGGACCAGGACATAGAGCTCAGCCAGCCCAACCACGGATGCCACGATCACAGCTGAGATCACCCTCTGGAACAGAGAACAGGCCTGGTGAGCTCTAGACCCCCGCTACACGTGGGAGCAATGAGGAGCTCACCACCATGACACCCAAAATAAAGCGTCACTCAGTCGAGTCAAGGCTCAGAACAGCTGCTCCACGGGAAATAAACATGGTGCTGTCATTTAGTCAAACTTTGCCCAAACCTATTAAATTATGGTTGTTCAT